TGACGGGACAGCTCCGGAGGCCGGGCAGGACCCGGTGTCGGCCGGACAGGAACCAGAGCCGGTGGGACAGGCTTCGGCAGGATCCCCCACGGAAGAGGACCAGGAGTTGGCAGGACCCCCTGCGAGACAAGTAACGGCGGGACCTCCAACGGAACAAGACATGGGATTGGCAGGACTCTCAGCGGGTCCTCCAACGGAACAGGACATAGGGTTGGCAGGACCCCCGGCAGAAGAGTAGACGGCGGGACCCCCAACAGGACAGGACACAGGGTTGGCAGGACCCCCGGCAGGAGAGTAGTCGGCGGGACCTCCAACGGCACAGGACATAGAGTTGGCAGGACCCCCGGCAGAAAAGTAGACGGCGGGACCCCCAACGGGACAGGACACAGGGTTGGCAGGACCCCCGGCAGGAGAGTAGTCGGCGGGACCTCCAACGGCACAGGACATAGAGTTGGCAGGACCCCCAGCGGAACCTCCAACGGCACAGGACATAGGGTTGGCAGGACCCCCGGCAGAAGAGTAGACGTCGGGGCCTCCAACGGCACAGGACACAGGGTTGGCAGGACCCCCAGCGGAACCTCCAACGGACCAGGACATTGGGTAGGGACTTGAGAGGGAACTCAAGAGGGGACTTGAGAGGAGACTCGAGAGGAGACTTGAGAGGGAACTCGAGAGGATACTTGCGAGGAGACTTGAGAGGTGAATTGAGAGGGGACTCGAGAGGGAACTCGAGAGGAGACTTGAGGTGACTCGAGAGGGAACTCGAGAGGAGACTTGAGGTGACTCGAGAGGGAACTCGAGAGGTGACTTGAGAGGGAACTCGAGAGGTGACTTGAGAGGGAACTCGAGAGGAGATTTGAGAGGGGACTGGAGAAGAGACTTGAGAGGTGACATGAGAGGGAACTCGGGAGGTGACTTGAGAATTGTCTTGACAGGGGACTCGAGAGGAGACTCGAAAGATGACTCGAGAGGTGACTCGAGAGGGAACTCGAGAGGAGACTCGAGAGGGAACTGGAGAGGGGACTCGAGAGGTGACTTGAGAGGGAACTCGAGAGGAGATTTGAGAGGGGACTGGAGAAGAGACTTGAGAGGTGACATGAGAGGGAACTCGGGAGGTGACTTGAGAATTGTCTTGACAGGGGACTCGAGAGGAGACTTGAAAGATGACTCGAGAGGAGACTTGAGAGGTGACTCGAGAGGTGACTCGAGAGGGAACTCGAGAGGGGACTCGAGAGGTGACTCGAGAGGGAACTCGAGAGGGGACTCGAGAGGTAGCTCGAGAGGAGACTCGAGAGGGAACTGGAGAGGAGACTCGAGAGGGAACTGGAGAGGAGATTTGAGAGGGAACTGGAGAGGAGATTTGAGAGGGAACTTGAGAGGGGACTTGTGTCGGTCGGTACGCCGACAGGACTCGGGGAACTGGCGTCGGCTGGAGTGCCAGCAGGAGACGAGGTTTTGGAGTCGGCCGGTACGCCGACAAGACTCGAGGAGCTGGCGTCGGCTGGGGAGCCAGCCCTGTAGCCGAAACTGGAGTCGGGCGCATGGCTTCTGGGGCCGGTACTGAAGCCGGAATCATGGCTGCTGGGGCCGGAACTGAGGCCGGAACCATGGCTGTGTCGGCCGGTTCTGTTGCCGGAACCATGGCTTCTGGGGCCTGTACTGGAGCCCGAACCATGGCTGCTAGGGCTGGAACCATGGTTACTGGGGCCAGGACTGGGGCTGGAACCATGGCTCTTGGGGCTCGGGCTGCTAGATTGGCCTTGCGACTCCTTCTCTTAGCAGCCGCCTGAATACTCCGTGGACCTCCATAAGCCAGACGAGTTCCAGAATACGACTCCTGGACAGGAGCAGGAACTGGGGCAGAAGCATGGGTTGACTCCAGACGGAACACACCGAGACGTTTGTAGTCAGCAGGCTGGAAATCACACACCCAGAGGAAGTTCAAAATCCAGCCAGGTAAGAATTTCACCAAGTCTGGTTTCTCCATAGCCAACCGGTGCGCCTCTACCAGAGCGGCCTCCTTCTGCAGAACACTGGACGCTCCCTTCCACCAATCATAGCAGCAAGCCAAATAAAAGGAAACATGTTGTCGTTCCACCTCAAAAGGATCATCTGCTGGGTCCATTTCTGGTTGGTTCGTACTGTCATGGTTGAGTGAAGGAAGCAGGACCCAAATGCAGATAACTCTGATAAACCTTTATTTCAAGGATAATGAAACTAACACAGACAAAACGGAACACTCACCGGTGAACTCAGTCACCAACAAAAGACGAACCAACACTGAACACAGGAAGAGACTAGACTAAATACAGGGAGGGGTAATCACGAGACGAGAAACAGCCGGGCAGGGGAGGAGAAACACAAGGACAACAGGTGAACACAACCAGACAACTAGACACACCAAGGAAACTAACGACAGGAGGAAAAAAACAGGGAAAGGACCAGACAATAAACCAGGAGGAAAACATGACAACAAACACCCAAACATACAAAACTACAAACGTGACATAACATGAGAATCGTGACAGTTGTATCACGGGCCATGTAAGAAACAATTACAATTTGGCGTAATCCAAATTATTTTTGGAAAATCTTCCCTATCCAGTAATCTTCTACTTTTCATTAGTCTCATCTATTATAATAATAGACCAGTTTGTTGACATTTGGCAGCCGCCGTTTTCTATTTAACGGGAGCTCTTTTCTTTGTTTAACATGGTATCCTATTGTATTTTTCTCAAATCCAGACTTCAGGCCATCACTGGTCACATGAACATTCACCAGATAACAGTGTATAATAATAAAGATAATGTGTAACACATTCCAAACAAGCTTTTGATAGCTTAAATACAGTGACTACAGCTGTGTTAGGTGTACAATATTTTAACATTGTCAAAACATTCACAGCTGTTGACAGGTTAGATTGGATTGCTGATTACAATCTAATCTACAACTGATAGCAGCAATACATGATGAATGAGCCTCAAAACAATGTCAACACACACACACACACACACACACACACACACACACACACACACACACACACACACCAAGATGTAAGGCGGGAAAGAGATAATCTAAAGATCATCTCCCCCTACTGTCACCCTTCCTATCTCCTTCCCTCCCCCCCTTAACCAACCCAGTCTCACAAAAAAACGTGTAATAACTACGTTGGTCCACAACGTGGGACGTAGTATTTCTACAAAAACGCCTCTGAAATTGTAAGATCCCTAGTGACTAGTGACATAGACGCCAGCCATTGGAATGCATGGTGAAAAAAAAACGTACTGTACGTTTTTTTTCACCATGCATTCCAATGGCTGGCGTCTATGTCACGTGATCTTCAAATTTCTCCCTGCAGAAAAAAAAAACATGGCCGACATTTGTTTTATTCTCGGTGGAAAATGCCTATTTTAAGGTTAGTTTGGCCATTAAAATGCGTTTTGATGTCATTTGATGCGAGAAATATGAGTTGTTATTTCAGAATATGTGTGCAGTGGATGTACATGATCTTTAGTTTGCTAGTTATTACGAAGATTACTTCAGGAAATTGTGTCCATTTGTGGCGGTGTGGTGTTCATGTAGAATTCTTGGTTTGCTGACAACGCCACCTGGGGGAGTTTTGCCCCCAGGAAATTACTAAAAACTAAAGTTATACAATTTAATAAAAGGCAATCAGGTTCGTTTGAACACCACAGGCAGAGACAGTATAAAGGATATTACAACAATTGTATTGGTACATAATTATATTCCTAATAGTACACAATATAATGTTATAAAAGTTCTCCAGGGAGGAGGGAGAAGGACAGTGCTGGGGCTTACCATGGCAGCAATTAACAAAACGGGGAGGAAGGGGTCAAATCAAAATCACCCGTGACACTGCACACCAAACAAAACGGACAAGTGAAGAACACCACCACCAGGGATTGGGTTTGCCGCCTCGAGCCCACAGCACCTGTCCGGCACAAGAGAAACAGTTAAAAATCAGTAAGATTATAAAACTTGGTTGGAGTAAACAAAAGGAAAACAACTAAAATAAACCAAATCTAAATAACCGTAAACAACAAAGACTTGAGTAAACTAATTAAACCAAACGTTAACAAAAGAAAATAAACAAAATCACACAATAACAAAATACTATGAATGTACTCAAAACATGAGATGCACAAAACAGCTAATCAAAATAAATCAACTAAACAATAAGTGTCCTTGCAATTCCGCGACCTCAAAACAGCCCTGGTAACAGTCCAACACGGAGTAGTCAGGGCCTGTCAATTATATGACACCACAGCTCGGTGCGAGAGCTCGCCGAGCCAAAACAGCAGGAAGGGGGGGGGGGGGGGGGGGGATGATGACCAGAGGTGGGGAGAGTGGTTACGGCATCCCAACTTTTACAGCTAGGCGCTGCCACAGAGCCCACCAGGAAGGGAGAATGTTTATGGCACCCCTGGAAAGAGGTTTAAAATGACTGGTGAATAGCCTACTTAAGTTTATTGAATTAAAAGTTATCTATGGGGACATTTATACATACCAGCCTGTGTGGCCAGTTGCAGCCACAGAGCCCACAGGGAAGGGAGAGAGAGACCCAACAATCCCACGGCCAAATCCCACTGTGACATGAATAACAGTCAGTACACCAGAGGAACCAAGCTGAAGGTGAGAATACGGCAGACAACGGCAACTCACCTATAGTTGCAACACTGCAAGACCGGGAACCTCCGGAGGAGCCAATCCTCCTCAAACGCACCGGGCGTCAGCTGCGCTAAGACAGAGTAGTGTCAAGCCGGGTGTCGCTCGTCCCCATGAATAAATGACAGAATGCAAGATGTTTTACCTGTCTGGTAGAGAGTGTGATGCGCGAGCTGCCACGCTAAACAATCCACGCGGTGTTATGGAAATCTAAAAACCCCAATACTGTAGAGTACAAGTCAGAAAACAAATAAATGGTGAAACAGACAGAGTTGTCTTTCCGGTGATGTTTATTCGAATAAACATCTGTGTGATGCTGCTGGGTGTGTAGAACTATCAGTAATGGGTCGCATTATGTGGAGCAATCTAAAAACGGCGACCTTTGCTGTGAGTGATAGCTTCTAGAAGTGATACGGGGTGTGGGTGACCCAGTTGGATGTCTGAGCTTTTGTTCGCTTGGCAGAGCTGTGCGTGGTGAACAAGGATTTGAAGACTTCTGATTTTTCTGTCATTTCCTGGACGGATCTCTTGCTGGCGGCGGATTTCGACAATTTGGAGCCTTCAGTGGAGCTGGAGGTTCCGGCCACATCTGACTGGCTGCTTTCACCATCAGTTTGTAGAGAGCTCTCCTTTCCATCCACTTCAGGACCTTTGGTGTCGTCTTTTGACTCTGATGGTGTGGCCACTGTTTCAGCTGCTTTGCTCTTCTTTGACTTCTTAGTTTTGGCTTTGGCCCGCTTTTGTTCCATCTTCTCCCTCAGCTTCTCCCCCTCCTCCTTAGTGCCGTTGAGCACGACAAGATCCTCATCTTTGAACAAGTCCCCGCACTTGTGGCAGATATCTGTCTTGATCTCTTTCAGGGCCCTGTCAGAAAAGACGCAGCCACAAGTCTGCAGGTAACAGAACCTGTGCTTGCCATTCATCTCCAACCCAACAACAGGGCAAATGAACATGCCGCAGTGGAGGTCCTCATATACGTCTCCTTTAGTATTACTTCTCTCTCCCGCCCACTCAGGGTTATCAGTCAAATTCAGCTCCTTAATATCCTTAATCCCACGGATGTGAGTAACAACCTCCATATTGGGTCTCTCAGCAGTCTTATCCAGAAGATATTCAATGATAGCATCTTTGTTTGTAGAGTCTTCCCATCTCGCAGGAAACAATGGGGCGTCTGAGTTTCTCCTGGCTCAAGGCACAGTATTTCCATTTGGCAGCTCGCTCTGCATTTCTATCAACCTTCTCTACTTTTTTGGGGCCTTTCACCAACTCGTGTCTTTTAGGAATCGTGCCACCATCACATCCCATCTTGAAAGATAAAGTTGAATCAACTGGTGTAGCTAGCTGCTGAAGTGACGACATGTTGTCAGTGAAGGAGGAGACAGGCATTCTAACAAATGAGTGTAAGGTGCGTGAGGTGTGAGAGGAATCAGACTCTTCCTTTGCGGCTGAGTCAGCAGATAAAAATTAGCAGACCCAATTTCTTAGGGAAACTGGGTCTGTACTGCTTGCAGAAATTGTCTACACTTCCAAATAGCCACAAAATCGTGCACTACCCCAAAAGCATAGCGTGAGTCAGTGTAAATAGTCACGGTTTTGCCTTCTGCAAACGTGCAGGCTTCAGTTAGTGCGATGAGCTCTGCTGCTTGTGCTGAGACATGGGATTGGTCCGGAACGGAGTACAGCAGAATCTGAAACAACAGGAAAAACCCACCCGATTAGTGCCCCCTTGGTCGCGAGAGGCAGACCCATCAACATACAAAATGAGGTCAGCCTTGGTCAGAGGAACGTCTTTTAAGTCCGGTCTAGGTGTGCACACAGTCGTGTTCGTCACCTTCAGGCAAAGGTCAATAAGAGGGTTCTTACAGTCTATCCTGTCATTTGTTTTTTATTGATCAAGTATGATCAAAAGGGGGGAATGTAGTGGAAATTTCCTAATATCCTGATATGTTAAAACCAAATGCTTCTCATTTGGTTTAGATGTGCTGTTTGCTCTATCTGTCCTACTTCAAGGCCACAGAGCTGTTTTGGCTACTAGGTTGAGACTCACACAAAGTCACACGAGAACTTCTACAGCTCAAGGCCAGGTGTCTAATAACAATGTGACCGTGTGAAGACAGATTTCTTACCTTCTCATCATTTCTACTATATAAGCTTCGCTATAATATTGAACTGCGCACACTCGCGCAGACTATCCTATACTCTGTGAGACCTGTGTCTATATTTTATTGTATCTGATGATTATTCGAATAAACATCACCGGAAAGACAACTCTGTCTGTTTCACCATTTATTTGTTTTCTGACTTGTACTCTACAGTATTGGGGTTTTTAGATTTCCATAACAGCCGCCACAAAGGAGAAGCGGAGGGGGAGGGAGCAGATTTGTCTCCTCCACTTAAATAGCAGGTGCGCAAAATAGCAGGTGCGCTGGCATGGTGCCAAGCAGCGTCACAGAGAGAGGAGACGTGACGTCCGGTCACATCTACCCCCCACTTTTGCATCGTCGACCCGACGGTGAATATGAGAAGGCTAATACTAGCACCAAGGCCTGAAAACGGCAGATTGGGAATTAGACACGGGGGCCCGAAGTGGACTCGCTACGTTGTCCTGAGGGCCTGTAGACCGAGGAAGATGGTGGACATTTGAGTGGTGGCCAGCCGTAGGGCGAACAGTTCGACGCACAGCCTGATGGTTAGTACTGGGCTGATCAGTTGGGGACACTGAAAGACCTAGGAGGAGGCAACCTGCAGGGTGAGGCACTTCCTGAACAGGCCTGGCCTGCAAAGGGGTTGCAACAGAGGGACAAGAAGCACCTGGAGCTACTGCGGGTAGTGAAGAGTGAGTCTCCGAAACCAACAGCCAAAGGTCGCTATCGGCAGAGGAGTGATCTGTTAAAACAGTCGACACGGGTGGAGGTGGAGGCCTGGGTGGAGAAGCGGTGGCCTCAGGACGAACCAAAGCCTTCAACATGTCCCGGTGGACATTTCGGACTCGTTGTAGGTCATTCACTGGGGCCACCGTATAGACTGTTCCTTCACCAGATGGCGCCTTCACGACCTGGTGGACCACAGAGCTCCAGAGATCCTGGATTTTATGCCGCCCTCTAACCCCATGGTTCCTCAGATAAACCATTTGGCCAACTGGGAGATGTGCCTCTCGGACTCGCTGGTCATGCCGCTCTTTCCGGCGGCCAGCAGCAGCCAACAACCGTTCACGAGCACCCTCGAAAGCAATTCTGAGCCTGGCTTGATGTTCGACCACCCAGTCCTGTACCCTGCCAAGTACTGGCTCCTGGACTCGACCCAGGAGAAAGTCTATAGGAAGCTGAGGTTCCTGTCCAAACCTCAGATAGAACGGTGTTTCACCAGTGCCCTGATGAGGCGTAGTGTTGTAACAGAACAGCACCTGAGGCAAACAGGAAGCCCAATCATGTTTGCGAGATGCTGGTAAGGTGCGAAGGAGGTTATGGAGGGTTCTATTGAACCGTTCGCATTGCCCGTTACCCGCAGGATGGTAGGGGGTAGTACGGGATTTAGCAACACCGTACAAAGAACAAAGTTGCTGGATCAAAGAACCCTCGAAGCTCCTTCCCTGGTCCGAATGAAGACGGCTTGGGACCCCAAACTTATAAAACCATTCATAGGTCAGGACTTGGGCCACAGTGGAGGCCCGTTGGTCCCGAGTGGGGACAGCTACTGTGAATTTGCTGAACACGTCAGTCATGACAAGGACGTTCTCCAGCCCGTTCCGGGAGGGTTCCAACAAAGTGAAATCTATTGCCAAGATTTCATTGGGTCGTGAGGCAAGCAAGTGGCCCATAAAACTATGGGGTACATGCCCCGAGTCTTTTGCCACTTGGCAACGTTCACACTCCTGGACCCAGCTCTTGATATCCGAGGACATTCCCGGCCAATAGCATCGTTGTCTGACTAACTCCGTAGTCCTTTCGATTCCTTGGTGGCCATGCTCTTGGTGTAACTGCTTCAATGTTTCCTGCTTGAGAACAGCAGGCAAAATGAGCTGAAGATATTCTTCACCTCCATCAGGGCGGAACACTCGTCGGAAAAGGACTCCGTCGTTCTCCACAAGGCGGTCCCATTGACGTAAAAGCGCCATGACTGGACGGAAGCCTCTCCGCCGAGGTAGGCTGAGCCTTACATCGCCAAAACACCAACACCTCTTCGAGGAGTGGGTCATCATCCTGCCGACAACGCCAGAATGTGGCGGTGTGGTGCTCATGTAGAATGCTTGGTTTGCTGACAACGCCACCTGGGGGAGTTTCGCCCCCAGGAAATTACTAAAAATTAAAGTTATACAATTTAATAAAAGGCAATCAGGTTCGTTTGAACACCACAGGCAGAGACAGTATAAAGGATATTACAACAATTGTTATTTTATTGGTACATAATTATATTCCTAATAGTACACAATATAATGTTATAAAAGTTCTCCAGGGAGGAGGGAGAAGGACAGTGCTGGGGCTTACCACAGCGGCAATTAACAAAACGGAGAGGAAGGGGTCAAATCAAAATCACCCGTGACACTGCACACCAAACAAAACGGACACGTGAAGAACACCACCACCAGGGATTGGGTTTGCCGCCTCGAGCCCACAGCACCTGTCCGGCACAAGAGAAACAGTTAAAAATCAGTAAGATTATAAAACTTGGTTGGAGATGAATAAACAAAAGGAAAACAACTAAAATAAACCAAATCTAAATAACCGTAAACAACAAAGACTTGAGTAAACTAATTAAACCAAAGTTAACAAAAGAAAATAAACAAAATCACACAATAACAAAATACTATGAATGTACTCAAAACATGAGATGCACAAAACAGCTAATCAGAATAAATCAACTAAACAATAAGTGTCCTTGCAATTCCGCGACCTCAAAACGGCCCTGGTGACAGTCCAACACGGAGTAGTCAGGGCCTGTCAATTATATGACGCCACAGCTCGGTGAGAGAGCTCGCCGAGCCAAAACAGCAGGAAGGGGGGGGGGGGGGGGGAATGATGACGGGGGGGGGGGGGAAATGATGACCGGGGGGGGGGGGGAGGGAGGATGACCGGGGGGGGAGGGAGGATGACCGGGGGGGGGGGGGGGGAGGAATGAAGACCGGGGGGGAATGATGACGGGGGGGGGGGGGGGGGGGGGGGTGGGAATGATGACCAGAGGTGGGGAGAGTGGTTACGGCATCCCAACTTTTACAGCTAGGCGCTGCCACAGAGCCCACCAGGAAGGGAGAATGTTTATGGCACCCCTGGAAAGAGGTTTAAAATGACTGGTGAATAGCCTACTTAAGTTTATTGAATTAAAAGTTATCTATGGCGAAATGTATACATACCAGCCTGTGCGGCCAGTTGCAGCCACAGAGCCCACAGGGAAGGGAGAGAGAGACCCAACAATCCCACGGCCAAATCCCACTGTGACATGAATAACAGTCAGTATACCAGAGGAACCAAGCTGAAGGTGAGAATACGGCAGACAACGGCAACTCACCAATAGTTGCAACACTGCAAGTCCTCCTCAAACGCACCGGGCGTCAGCGGCGCTAAGACAGAGTAGTGTCAAGCCGGGTGTCGCTCGTGCCCATGAATAAATGACAGAATGCAAGATGTTTTACCTGTCTGGTAGAGAGTGTGATGCGCGAGCTGCCACGCCAAACAATCCACGCGGCCACAAAGGAGAAGCGGAAGGGGAGGGAGCAGATTTGTCTCCTCCACTTAAATAGCAGGTGCGCAAAATAGCAGGTGCGCTGGCATGGTGCCAAGCAGCGTCACAGAGGGAGGAGACGTGACGTCCGGTCACACATTCAACGTTTTCATTGTTACCAAGGTGGTTGCTATCGATATTATTTCTGTTATTTCTGTTATGTTGTGTAACTGTTTAATGGTGTTATCTTTATTGCTACCCCCTTCCCCGTCAATTTATAGTGTTGGTCCACAGCGCAAACGTATTAGTTTAACAAAATCCGCATCTAAAATTGTGGCATAGATACGTTATTTTCCCCTGTGCAATTCTCCTACCCAGTCTCACATCTCACATCACATCGTCACAAACAAATACCGGAAACAGACCGAAAACATTTTTTCAAAATAAAATACTTTCTTCCGAGTGTGCTTGCTTTTCTCTTTGAAAGTCATCACATACCGGCATTGTAATACACGGTTTGGCTGCATTAAATATTACATATCTGCCGTAGTTCTCTATTTATAGAGCCCTGATGAGAAGACTTCTAGACAAACATGAGGAACTCCCGCCAAAACTGAAAAACGTGACGTGGATCATAAATATATCAGCAATTAAACTTCTTTTCACACAATACGTCTCCTTGCAGTATCAACACTAATTCGGCTGACTTTTATATTTGATCCAATTGGTAGATAGGCTGTATTTACACCATAACGGTGCACAGCTGATACAAAGGGACACCTAGTGGTTAAAGCATGTTATTGCATTTCATTATTTTTATTATTAGATATTAATAGGATCCCTATAAAGTATATTCATTACTCGTTATTCTCTACTAATAGTTGAAGACTGTATATAATGACTATTTTGCACATCCTTTTCAAGATTTTCTAAGGTTTATTGACATATCATTGTTACGAACTTGGATACACAAGGAAGAAAAGGACTCAAATGCA